GGATCATTTGGCTATTCATTTAATCCATAAATGCTTATGCAGGCCTTGAAAAGTTGGGGTAACCTCACTATTGCCCACTATTATTTTATGGCTACTGGAAAATTATTAATGGCTGTATTTAATTGGGAAGACAACTCTCTTTCTAACAGACTATCAAGACATTCTTTCATTCATCCAACATTCATTAAGCTCCTACTCCGAGCCAGGTGCTGAGCATGCAAAGATTAGTAAGACAATACCCCTGGTGTCCTGCATCTCACTATCCATTTGGGAAAGCAGTCATACAACAGATGGTAACAATTTACTTTGCCTTTAAAAAGTCGCTAAAGAATTATCAGAAGAGGTGATATTTAAGTTGTATCTTGAAGAATGAATAGGAGCTTACCAGGAAAAAAAAGCAGACTGAGATAATTAGAATTCTATACATAAGGGCACAGGGTTTGGAAAGGAGCTGACTTGGTGTTTTAGTCCGTTTAGCCACTATAACAAAAATACCATAGGATGGGTGAATTAGACAGCAAACATTATTTCTCACTAGAGGCCCAGTGCACGAAATTCATGCACTCGGGGAGGGGGGTCCCTCAGCCCGGTCTGAGCCCTCTCACAGTCCAGGAGCCCTTGGGAGATGTCCTTAGTGCTGCCGCGGAGAGGGGAGAGGCTCCCACCACTGCCGCTGCACTCACCAGCCATGAGCCCAGCTGAGAGGTGCTCCCCCTGTGGGAGTGCACTGACCACCAGGGGGCAGCTCCTGCATTGAGTGTCTGTCCCCTGGTGGTCAGTGCGCATCATAGTGACCGGTCATTCTGCCATTTGGTCGATTTGCATATTAGTCTTTTATTATATAGGATAGTTATGGATGTTGGGAGGCCAAGATCAAGGCGCCAGCAGAGTTGGTGTCGGATGAGGTCCTACCTCCTGGTTCATAGGTGTTTGTCTTCTCACTGTGTCCTCACATGGCAGAAGGGACACGGGAACTCTCTGGGATCTCTGTTATAAGGACACTATGCCCACTTATGAGGGCTCCGCTCTTATGACATAGTCATCTCTCAGAGACTCCCCTTATAATGCCATCATCACATTGGGAATTAGGATTCACATATGAATTGGGTGGAGGTGGGGAGGACATAAACATTCAGTCCATTGCACACTGTGGAAAGAATAGCAAAAACTTCATTGTGGCCAGGAGTGTAGGCAGTGGAAAAATATGTGACCTAAGAGCTAGATTGGGAACAGAATATAAAAAGCCTTGTACACAAAAATAAGAAGTCTACTCAACTAAAACCAACAAAGGTTTTTAAGAAACAAATGTTTTCATGCTCACTCAGGAGTATAAAAGTTAAAGAGAATAATTATTTTAATGCTTTCAGAAACTTCAGTAAATATCAGTGGACAGAGCCAAAAATTTTCCCCAGCATATATGTTTTTAAATTTTAAACAACTATTGGCAATGATAGCTGAAAGTATCACACATTTCTCAGAAATGCGATCTAAAAGCATTCTCATAGTTATAAGTAACTTTCGAAGTTTTAGTTAAGGCAGGTTCTCTGACTCAAACTAAGCTTTATCAACAGAAATTTATTGCATACAGAAAGTATTTTGTTCCTGGCCCTCAATAAGTCCCTTCTTCCCCCTGCTGCCTTACACATCTGTTGATGGAACCTAAAAGGGAGTCCCCTGGCAAAGCAGAAACTGGTTAGCAGGATCCCAGCTCCAGCATCATTAGGCAGAGTACAGAGGGTGAGTTTGGAGCTGAGAGACAATCATAGCATCCGCTTATTACAAATTCACGTTACAGGCCCCGCTCCAACCTCCTGAATCAGAAACACTGGGAATGCTGCTCAGCAGTTCATATTCACAAACCTAGGTGACTCGGGTACATGGTCAAGTTTGAGAACTGCTACCCTAGCACATTGAGCTCCGACTCTTCATTTGCTGACTTGCAAACCTGCCAGTAATTGGTCCTCTAAGAGTGAGAAAGCAATGCTTTTCATATTCCTACTGTGCTTCTGGGCAGCTGGGACTGGCAGAGGCTGGAGACAAATTTAGATTACTTAAGACTTTGGATTCTGTATGGGTTACATAGAAATGATACTCCTTTTTAGGGCTTCAATTTTGTTGTTTTTGTTAATCCTCACCCAAGGATATATTTTTCCTGTTAATTTTTTTTTTTTTTTTTTTTTTTTTTTTTTTTGAGAGTGGAAGGGAGAGGGAGAGACAGAGAGAGAGAAAAATTGATGTGAGAGAGACACAGTGATTGGTTGCCTCCTGCACATGCCCCAACCAGGGCCGGGATTGAGCCTGCAACCAAGGTATGTGCCTTGAACAGAATCGAACCTGAGACCCTTCAGTCTGAGGGCCAACAATCTAATCACAGAGCCAAACCAGCTAGGGCTTCAATTTTATTTTTTAAGCTATAAGCAGAGAACCATCTGAGAGCAACAAAAGATGAAAACTGAGTTTTCATGTATAGTTCAGTGTTGTAATAAAACAATATAAAGTGTGATACTAAACCATATTTAATTTCTGTAATTATATTGTTGTTAGGTGGAATTTAAGCATAAATAACAGCCATTAACCATAAACAACTAATTAGCATTCTTTCTGACATCTGAGACAGTTCTCCTTTTAGGGCCTCCCTCTGCCCAGGCATTGCTGTCAAGGCATTCTTGCAGAGCAGAGTTTAACCCTCACCACAAACATATGCACACAGACACAAAGCTAAAGTGATACTTAAAATGGATCCTTTCTCCTTCCCTAACCATATAGTCCAATACTTCACCCGCCCCATGATTTTGAGAAATAAAAGGTCTAACAGTGGCTTGATCTGTAAACTGGGGGCTAAAAAAGCCAAGACCAGGGCAGGGACCTGTTCACTTACTCACTGGCATCCCGAGTTCCTGTACTGACTACATTGTTGGCTCTGTTCTGAACTCAAAGCAAACATTAGTGAACAAAGCAAAGTTCCTATGTCTGTAGCTTATATTCAAATGGGTAAGATAAGAATAATCAACAAGAGAATAAATAATATATAAGGCAGTGATGTTAAGAAAGATACAGTGGTATGGGGAGAAAGAGAATGGGCTTGCTACATTGTGCATTAATTTCTGTACACCCGGCCCCCTAGCACTCAATAAATTTTTGTTCAATGAATAAACTTACTAAGAGATCTCTATAGCAGCTTCTATCTCATTGGTAAGGATAATACAATAGCTAATGTATTATCTAAGTACAGTGGCTCTGTGCCGGCTGGTTATTGCTTAGTGGCTGAGCTTCGACCTATGAACCAGGAGGTCACAGTTCAAATTCACAAGTCCTGGAATGAATGTAACCCAAACAGTACAAATTCTGGTTGGATTACATAGAATGTTCCAGTGAGGTCTGAAGAAAAGAGCAAAAGATATATAAAAAGGCAGAAAACAGTAGTTAAGGATTAGTGGGAAAATAGCTAAACAACTTTTAAAATTTATTGAAAGATGGATAGAATCAGAAGGCCTGGATTTTTACCAAGTTTACTACACTCTAGCTCTGTCACCTCAGGCAGGTTATTAAGTCTTTTTATGCCCTCAGTTTTATCACTTCCAAAATGGGAGTAGTCCTTCATGGATTACTGTAAAGTTTAAATGTGTGTAATTCTTCTTTTTTTTTATTGATTTTTGAGAGAGGGATAGAGAGAGGAGAGAGAGAAACCTCAATCTGTTGTTTCACTTACGTATGCATTCATTGGTTGATTCTTGTATGTGCCCTGACTGGAGATCGAACCTGAAACCTTGCTGTATCAGGATGACGCTCTAACCAACTGAGCTACCTGGCCAGGGCTAAACGTATATAATTCTTATAAAAACATTTAGGTAATATATATTACCTAGTATTTGTTGTTGTTGTTGTTATTATTATGTTGCTCAACCCAGTTAATGGGGAGTATTCTTTAATATTAAAAAAGGAGATATACTCATCTCTCCATAGATCAGATCTACATTAACCAGGTTTTCAAACCACCTGACAAGGGCCTCTCTACCTCCCACTTAGACTAACTGCAGGCTGAAGCTTTTTTGGAGATGGAGGAAGCTTTTTTCAAACATGCTCTTTAAAGCTAAATGGTGCCAGAAAATATAAAAAACTACTCACCAGCATAGAAATAAACTTAATTTTTCCATAGCTAAGGTTTATGAAATAAAGAAAATCAAATTTGTATGAGATGTTTTCAGTCCTTCTATCTAGCATGTTCCCCCTTCCAATAAGTCCATATCTCCAAATGTAATCAAGAATCAATCTCCAATTATTGTCATCAAGTCTAAGTTTAAAAAAAATTGGCTTTTATTGTTTTGAGGAAGTATTCATATCTCTTGTTAGAAATAGAATTTATGGTGGTGAAGTCCAGTATCCTATTGGAGAGAAGATTGCAGCGTTTCCATATAAACATAGCTTCTGGAACCATTTCAGAATAGAACTCCCCGAAGACAGTGCATTAATGTAGACATCCTTAGAGATATCTTCCTACATTAATAAAATAAAACATAATATGCGTTATAAATGAACCTCAAGTCTGAGCCAGACACAGAAGGGTGGAAAGCCTGAATTCTGAGCCCACATAATCAGCAGTCTGTGGAAACTCTGGGAATCATGCCACTGCTCTCCAACCTAGCATAGTTGGGAAATGACACACTTTAAGAAGCACCCGTCCAGGAAATGAGAGGGCCACAAAGCACACCATAAAAAGGTCCATGAACTTGTTTTATGAATGAAGAGTAGAGGGTGTCCTGGCTCCAAGCTGTAGTGCCTTTATGAGTATGTCCTAATTTCTCATTCTTCAGCTTTGATCATGGTGGTTGGGTAGGTATAACAAACTTCTAGCAGGAAAAAATATGTTAGCCATAAGCATATTGTCCCATGCCTTTTCATAATTATTTTTAATCAGTTTTCCCCATGTTTATCTCCATTCCAAGATCAGATCTTCCCACCTGTCTCTCCCCACCCCCAAAGAAGGTGCACAAAAAACCCCACAAACTTAATCAGTTTTATTCACACTACCCATGAAATCATTAACACACAGGGCAAGAAAAATCATAAGGTTAATATATCTGATTAGACACATAATACAGAAAATAAATGTGAAATTAAAAGTAGTGTACTTCCGTGATTACATTTTTACTGTATTTTCTACTTATTTATAGCAGCATCTGTAAGATTCCTCTATTTGTTAATAGTTAACTAGCAGCAAATTTTTTTAAATTACACTAATTCAGTAGATGTTTCCCTTCACTGTTTTATTCATACAGAATTTATCACATTAACCAAACAAAACCACTTCTATTTCCCAAAGAAAACAGTGGGAAAATAATTCATAAGTTACCAGTCCCTCCCCCCGCCCCCCAAAAAAGGAAAAGAGTAATGAGGACAGAAACTGGAAAAAATTTACATGCAATTACCAAAAAATAAACTCTCAACCACCTTGACCAATATGGGTAAATATTGTGGGTCACCATATATGTGTGTTAGTGAATAAAAGCTGTGTTGATGTTATTTTCTGACTTTACACTGCAGTTGAAAAACATGTGGAAGTTCCCAGGAGGCCTTTCGGAGCCTGGAGAAGATATCGGTGTGTATCTTACATATTTTCAATTGGCCTGAAAATGTTAAGGAAATTCATGTTTTACTTTTTTTGCTGTATAGTTAAGAATAATATTTTCAATTTTCTAACTGGTTTAGACTAAGAAAATTTCAGAGAGGTTACTTCAGGGCTGATATAAAATTAGCAGCAAAACATGTAACATTAGAACTTACTCCATTAGTATAAAAATGCCATTAGGACGATACACCTGTTTTTCCCTTTAAGGCTGCTTCTAGAGTGATTTGTTTGAAAGTGAGAAGCTGTGGATATGCATCAGCAAAGTTTAGCATTGAAGGCTATTTGGAATATGACTAAAATTGTTGGAATTAAACTATGAGAAAACACAAATTCTTGACTATGTCATCACACAAGGATGAATAGTAACTTTTACATGAACTTCGAAACAAGTATTATTTATAAAGTCAGTTATAGAGCCATGGTGATGTAATTCTTCTATTTTTGAAAAATTTATCTACTAATTATTGGGACTAGTCAGAAGCCAAAGCATAGTGAAATATCTCATATGAGAAGATCTCACATGAGAGACATAACTCCTTAAAACAAGTTCCTGAGCTCAATATGGAAGACAGGGGAATTTGAAAAAAGCTAAGAATTCTCATTGTCACTGATTTTATAGGAAATAAATGAAAGAATAGAAACTGAGTTTTCCTACCTCTTCCTCCTTACCCCACTGGTCTAATACAGCCCCTGTCATAATAAATCAATAGGTAACTCATTTGGATACCAGTACTATTTCTCCACAACTTTTCCCTCAAGATTGCATGTCCCTGTTCTCTTTAGCCAACATTTATGTGAACACAATTTCCTAAATTATCCTTGGATATTTTATATAAAAATGTATATATTCCTGAAACTTAATTTCTAAAAATGTTACACAGATTAAAATGCTCTATATATAGTATACAGCCAACTCTTAACAACCAGTAAGTACATTTACTACATTCAAATAAATTCATAGCAAATTCTGGATTTTAGATACTTATTGACCCAGATTCTGTTGGGTCTTCTGTGGAAATAAAAGGGAATTTGGTAGTGGTGTGAGTGCTGGGAGGTAAAGCCATTTATCCTCGAACACCTAATTATCTTCCACTTTCCTTATGTGATGTATAAGAGTATGTGAATTAGTTAAGCTTATGTTACATCCTCACCCAACCCATACCAGGCAGGAAGCCGTCTGCAGGAGGTTTGTGTAGCTTCCTCGCCAATGAACTGGAGTTCATTTTTATGGATCTTCAGAATTTCAGATAGACTTATATTTAAATGTACATGAAGAAACACATTTCCAAGACAAATAGTTAGGTTTAAGTGTACTCCAGAACCCTTCAAGTCCAAGTAGTTAAGAATTTACTACTTTTTATGTATTTGTGGTTGACACAACAACCCACCTACCCAGAGATCATAGATACACCTCAACCGTGTGGAATGAAGGAAAAAGCAGCAGTTGTCATTCACCATACTTTCTAGTATAAATTAAAGCTTTGCCTTAGATTGATAAAACCCTGAAAGCAGCTGGAAATGGTAACTGACAGTAGAGTCCTGAACGACTATGTCTATCCAAAGGCATTTCTGTTCTGTAATACAATACAATAATAGATATTTTTAATGATGAAGCCAAATCATCCAAGAATTATTTATTTTCTTTAAACCCTATATTTAGGAACATAATCTATTTTAGGAATACTGCCATCACCAATGTGCAAGCATTCATACTGGCTCATAAGTAGTAAACACTGGTTAACTGGGAAACATATCTGTTTGCAATCCTTCATTCTTTGTTACTAGGTAAATGAAGCACTGTTGTCTGTAGTGTCTAAAAAGAATCAAGAGGAGCATATACAAAATGGAATGCAATCCTCAGGCTTTAATATCCTACCCTAGGAGTACAAAGGTTAAAAATGGAGGCATTGCCTTCCTAAAAAACCTCATTATCCCTGCCAGGGACAACCCCCTGCATAGCCTGAGGACTGCACCAGTCGCTGGTCTGGGTTCATCTGTGCCCCAGAGTCAGAGTGAAACACTAGGAAAGCCCACATTCTGCACAATTTTTCCATCTAATCCTTCATTAAATATCACAAAATAGAAATAACAAATATAAACTCCATCTCACTATTGTTCTACAACTAAACAAAATGCTATGACGTATTTAAACTTATCTCTCAATCAGCAAAAATACGGTAAAAACATAACCTCTTGGTTTTTCCTATGTTCTTCAAACTTGTAACACAGTAAATGGTATTTCAGTTTAGCTTACAGTACATTAGAATAACAAAGGCCCAACAGAGAAAAGCACTTTATCCAAATAAAAATTCAGATTCATGGCAAGATCTTTGGAGAAGAGATTTCCATCTGGGGGCAGAAGGGCTCTCTCATACCCTGGACACAGAAGCACCTACTTGCCCATTCAGTTTTCGCCTAGCCACTGCTCTGCTGATTCAAGTTAAACTGATCAGACTACCCAGGCAGTGCTGCTTTGGGGTCCACCGCATCGGTGACTGCTGAACAGGGCTGATTCCCTGACTGTCCCCATCTGTGATCCGTGACATGGAAACAGGCTAGATGGGAACTCAAGGCCCAAATCTTGACTAGTGATACTGAGAACTAGGCAGGACCCCCATGTTTAGTTTTCAAAGTGTTTAAAGAACACTTAACCAATAGTTAAGTGAGACCAGCCAATGACATGTAAAAGCTAAGACTAGTGCCACAGTCTTGAATAGATTTAATAACAAATATGGATTCTATACCAGACTGAAAATTATTTTTCTTAGTAAGGAAATTTTCCCCTTTTTAGCATAAATTCTTACACATTTTTAATTTAAAAATATAATTTCTAGCCCTGTGCAACCTGTGGCAAATCTCAATTATAAGGGGAGTAGGCATGTAATTAAAAAATGGCAGACAGATGGCTTACATTTCAGAGCACCTTGCTCCTCCTGCACACAATTCCAGAGCCATTTCTCAGGGAGCGTCCAGGGCTACCCAGGGAATTGGGAAGACAGTCCATGGCATAGCACATGGACTTGGAGACAGTCTCCTTGCCCTCCTCTTCCTTGCCTGTTCTTCACCAGTAAGACCAGCAAGACTACTAACAAGGCAAATATAATTTACTGCTTGACAAACAAGAAAAGGCGGGTACTAAAGGGTATTGGAACAAAAAGCTATGCAACTATGATAATTCCCGGCAAACTGGATAAGGAAGGCAGCTATTTTCAGGGCTTCTGGTGCCTCTTTGGGAGATAATGGCAGCATCACAGAATTAGAAGAAGCCATCGGGGATCATCTGGATAGTTAGAAAAAGCAGCCACCAGCATATGCTAATGGCAGTGAAAATCCTGCCCCATAAGTTTGTGTGTTATCAGAAAGTCACCCTTCTAAAATGTGGAAACCCTGTTGTATTACAAAGTTCTGTGTACTGCAAGTTTTTAAAAACCTCTGATGGAGTAACTGCAGCATCTGGGTGTTGGAGGAATGAATCTAAATTCTTTGGAATCTCAGGAAACAAAGGAGCTGCCCAAAATCCCAATTGGGATTCTCCGGACTGGATAATTAGTGGAGAACAACAAAAAGATTGCAAAGGCATCCTCCTGAGATTTGGAGGGCTGACTGTCCTCCACACCTGCCCCAGATCACCAGGAGAGGTCCGAGTCCCTTCGCAGTCTCTACACCCCGCAGCCCTACACGTTCATAAGGAGGGGATCACTTTTTCTCCACACCAACATTTATAAATTCAGGCAGTGTGGGTGGATGGTCAGGAACAGGTAACGACGAAGAAACATGTAGGAACAGTAACCGCAGCTTTGCAACCTATGTTTTCACCTTTTGAGAAGCAGAGCAGGAAGAAGTTAAAAATATGTGACCCCAAAAACATCAGGTGGATAGGCCCCCCAGTAGCAGCCAAAGAAATATTCACTATTTTGAAAGCTTCTTAGGTGTACAGTGGTAAGAAAATACTTTGGTATTTCAGGGTGTCAGAGTTTTTATTGAAAACTTCACTTTCTTAAAGTTTTGCTTCTGAACCTTTAGATAAAGTTCTCTAACTGAAAATCCTTGATGATTACCTTCTGAAAATGTGATTCTTATTGATTTGTACATCTTTTCTTCACGCAGGAGACACAGCAGTTCGAGAAGTTTTTGAAGAAACTGGTATACGATCAGAATTCAGGTCCCTCCTGAGCATTCGGCAGCAGCACAGCCACCCCGGGGCTTTCGGGAAGTCGGACATGTACATCATCTGCCGCCTGAAGCCGCGTTCCTTCACCATCGAGCTGTGCCCGCACGAGTGCCTGCGGTGCGAGTGGATGGACCTCACCGACCTGGCCAAGGCCGCCAACACCACGCCCGTCACCAGCAGGGCCGCGCGGCTGCTGCTGTACGGGCACAGGGAAGGCTTCGAGAAGATTGACCTGACCATGGACCAGCTCCCAGCTGTTTACACGGGCTTGTTCTACAAACTCTATCACAGGGAACTGCCAGACAGTTACAAAGTGATGACGGGAGTGGACTAAATCATATTTACATGTGTAAAAATTTTTAGTAAATCGTACATGTAGATTAATGTGTGCCATATTCTAAGAATGGTGCACATTTTGGGTTAACTAAATCTCTGACTTTAATTTTCTAATGTGTATGATTTCCATGAAGAAAATTTGCAAGTGCACACATTTTTAAAGCCTCTTTTCGAATGGAGTGAATGTATGGAAAGATTGTAGCTCTAAGTAAGCGTCACTGGATAAAGGCAAATGCTATATAAAAGGTGGAAATTTATACATTTCCAGGAATTCTTGTTGTTTTCTTTACTAAGGCAATGGTTAAATACTTTACTATTAGATCAAAGGTTATCTGACCAGTTATCCAAACTGAGCAGACAGCTGCACACATTTTCTTTTCCTTTCATTAACAAATTTCTAAAATATACCTCTTCCTTCATGTGAAACGAGATCAGATGGTGCCCTTAAGATCAGCTCTTAGCAGACATGGGAAGAAAAAGTATGGCTTTCTGGCCAGGTCCTGTTTTGGGTCCAAGTTTATACTGCCCATTCCGCTTCAATGCCACATACCAACTGGAGTACTTTCTTGACCGGTAAGTGTTGTAGTTATTGGATTCCAACCGTTCAAAAAAGAAACACTCATCCGTAACACATTTCTGAAAAATAAAGGAAGAATAAGTAGTTGTCATATTGCTATTATTATTTTACTCTGCATATTAAATGTTTTGACAATTCACTGCCCATTCTGCTCAACCAGCAGCAGTGCTGTTGGGTTCAGCGGGACAGTCAAACCAGCCAGACTCGGCAGGCCAGGCTCTGACACAGCCCAGACCCACAGAAGGATGCAGGATGGCCTCCAGCTAATCTCTTCAATGGAGGCAGCCACAGACCCTCTCTGCAGCCCCCCATGGGCAGGTATGTGTTAGGTGACAAGGGCACACAGGTAGTGTAGGAACCACACTGGCTCAGACTTAAGCACCCCACACACATAGCTTTCAGGGCTCTCCACAAAGAGGGGTACACCCAGTACCAAACCTCCCCCCTACACCTGGGGAAACCCAAAGCTATGGCTTCCAGTGGGGGTTTATGGTCCAGCCATGCGCATCCAATCCAGAGGCAGGTTACCAACTGGGTCATGTTGACTTATCAGGGTTCCTGTGAAACAGTGCTGGACAGGTAACTTTCCTATAGGCAAGAAACAGTTCCTTAAATTATATTTTTCCCAGTAGCTAATATTGTTTCAACGGCATAAAAGAATAGTTTATTGTACAGGAAATAGTGAATGTATATATCGCCCCCAAATTGTATTGAAACATATATGATTGGCATTCTCAAAACACTGAGAGATCATGAGGAACAAGTAATGGAGAACATACTCCTTTCTGGCAGTTTCTTGTGGGAGGGGGAACTACTCTGCCTTTTGACTTCAATCCAGCTATTTATCGAGGGGAGAAAATAGCCAGCTAAACAAATAGTTAGATCTGGTGATACGATTCCAAGTCATCAAGTCTAATAGGCTGCCACATGATTTCAGGTAAATGTTCAAAAATCAACTTCACACCCTGGCCAACAAGGCTCAGTTGATTGAGCATCAATCCTACGCATCAAAAGGTTGCTGGTTAGATTCCCGGTCGGGGCACATGCCAGGGTTGTGGGCTCCATCCCTGTTAGGGGGTCTGCAGGAGGCAGCCGTTTGAGGTTGTGCTCTCACATTGATGTTTCTCTCCATCTCCCTTACTCTCTCTCTAAAAATCAAACTATTTTAAAAACTCAATTTCACATGGTAGCAATGATGATACATACTGACCTCTGGGTGGGAGTGGGGAGAATCAACAAATGATTTGCTCACTTTAAGGGAAGAAAGGAAAAATAATTTATTTTTTTATATTTCAATTATAGGTAGATGAATAAAATCATAGAGAAAGGTATATAATTTTACACCTATTTCTATCTCCACATATAAATACAGCATGCGCACAAGCCCATGGCTTTGCATTAATGAGTGCACCAGGTTGCCACTTCTGTCTGGATACTCAAATCTAGGAAACTTCAGGACTGGGAAAACCCACATTCAAAAGACTTGAATCTTTTCCCGGATTCTTTGGTTCCAAGATCAACTGAGCAATGGCACAAACTGACAGGGAAAAAAAATCATAAATCAATAAGCAAAACAATGAAAAGAGCTGGTGTAATAACCAAAGTGAAAGGTTCTGAGAGAGACCTAACAGAGAACACATACATCTCAGGCGGTTAAAGTGAGGGTGGGTTGCGGCTTGCAGCAGTGAGAATTTTATTGGATGCTTACTTGGCTTTTGTTCATTAAACTTTTTAAAACTGAAATGCAAAATCATCCAGGTTTTTTTGCAACAAGTTAGTAAAGCAACATAAGTCTTTCTGATACAAATAAAACCCAGGAAGCCTTGCAGAGGAGCCAGCTCCGTCACAGCCAGGACTGCGGCTGGGGAAGGCCTGGTTGTGGTAACAGGGGAACCCTGCAGTCATGTGGGGCATCCACAGCCCACACCTCCACTCTGCCTCTGGTGAAATGCCTTCCGCCTCTTGTGATGACTGACGTTAACCTGTGTTCCTTTGTCATTTTTCAGCACCACTGATTAAAACCTCCCTCTTTCCCAATTCTAGGTTTGAGACGAGGAGTGGAAGTGAAAGGAAGTAAAGAGTAAAAGGAAAAGTCATACCGATCATAAAGATAACAGGGAAGGTTGTTATGGAGTGACGCAGGCTAACTCCCCAGTCGTCAGGACACTGATATGCTCATTTGGGGTGTTCTGTCAACTTCCAGGGCGCCCCACCTTGCCGTTGGCACTCCTTACAACGGTTGGCCTACGGGGATGGGTGCCATGCCAATAATATTCGCCTTCTCTGCCAGTTCCTACTATTTCAGAGAAGAGAAACAGTACCAGGGATTAAGTGGGCACTACATCATGGAACCCACAAACTGTTTCCACAGAGGTTACTTGTACCTTTACAAAAACAGCGCGGGCGGAAGGAAAGCTGGCTTCTGTGCCAAACGTCCAGACACGTACGTTTACTAAACAAGTGCTACGCACTTGAAAACAAACTGCAGTGCTTTTTCAAATGGGTCGTAGGGCAAAATTCGGCTCTCAGGAAAAGCAGGGGTTTCACATGACCATGTAAGTACAATTTCAATTCTCTCCTTTCTCAGTTTACAAATCTTCGGTGACTGTGACCTCAATGTTTCTATTAAAAATTGATGCAATAGAAGTTCCCTTAACCTTTATAAACATGTTTACAGAGCTTTTTTCCTATTCCCAGTGTTCAACTTCTCACCACTTCAAACCTCAGAGAAAGGGGGGTCCTCTGGAGGAATGACATCACAGAGGACGTGACTAAGTAGCCACTTCTCACACCTTTTCATCAAATCAAATTTTCCTTTATTTTGATTATTTAAATTTAAAAATAATGTTAAGATATAGAAAGCACACGGTTCCAATAATACATGCATTTATTTAACGTGTGTTTTTGTCTTCTAGGCACTGGGATTGGTCAGTGAACAAACTGAATGAGGACCATGCCTTTGTGCCACTCCAGTCTAGCAGGTGGAGACACCAAATAAGCAATGAACCTAAGTGGGTGACTTGTGTGCCAGATTAGAATGAATCCTGTGGAAAGAGTAAAAGCGAGAACGAGAGGGGTTGGGAGTGGGACGGTTGCAACACTAAATAGCACAGTCACAGGAGGCTCCCCTGGGAAAGTGACATTTGAGCAAATGCTGGGAGGTGAAGGAGTTAACCATCCAGACATGAGAGCAGGGCATTTCGAGCACAGAGAGGGGACAGCCAGCGTCAGCTAGAGCAGGATCAGGCCTGCAGCGTGTGAGGGGCTGCAAGGAAGCCCGGGTGCATGAAGGGAGGGGAGGCAGACATGAGGTCAGAGAGGAAACGAGATAGGAGATTAGGAGCTATTGTAAATACTCTGGGAAAATGGGAAACCACTGTAGGCTTTTGAGCAGCAAAGTGGCATGACCTGACATTCTCCCAGGGTTACTCTGGCTGCCAAGACCACACTGGGCAAAGGCCGATGCCGGGGCACCTGTATGAGGTGGGCTGAGTATCACAGGCAGAGGGAGTGGAGACTCAGACCGCAGTGGTGGCCATAGGGATGGTAAGAAGCTGTCTGCGTCTCACATGAGAGAATTCCAAAAAATTTATGTAGATACCTCCTCCAAGGAGATGGCGCATAACCCTGCCCCCTTCAGTGTGGGCCGTGTACAGTGACTTCCCTCCAAAGAAGACGGCATGGTACTGGGGGGACGATCACTCCACAGTGCCCCCTGCCCTCGCTCCTCCCTGTGCCACTGGCCTCAGGAGTCTCGCCTGCTGCTACATATTAGATTTGAACCTTCTGGTCATTTCCCCATGCTCTGTTTTTGGATTGTTTGTTCTTTTACAGTACTTTGATTTTGCAGTTTTGGCTTATGAGGGAGTTTGCTCAACATGAATCCAAAAATGCTTTTGCTTACACCACTTCCGATAATTAAAAACAGAGACGATGTAAGTATTAATACCGACTATTTCAGAACAAACTCAAACACACAAATTGTGAAAAGTTAAAAGGAAATTTTATCTTAATCTTGTAAAAAATAAAAATATATATGTTGTATAACATTTTATAAGATTGGTTTCTAAAAGAAGCAATAATTCTTATTAGGCAGTAACCTTTGCATTTAATTGTACTTTCTCTCTTAAATGATATACATTCCTCCTTAATTGTTGCATTTTTCTGACAATTTTGATCAGTACATATCGTCAATCTAGATAAGGGAGCCCTCAAAAAGCTAGTTTCCCTACTTTGCGTGTAGGCTTCATAGTGAAGGCCCCTCAAGTAAGAAAGTTATTCTACAGGCAGGTAAAAAAAAAAGTATTTTACTTTTACAGTGATTAAATGTATATCCTCAGGGAATATAAATGATTTCTCATGTTTCACTATTATGGGTCAACACAGGTCACACATACTCGAATACTTACTGAAATGTTTTGTTTGGTGAGCACAGTCTCTCACATTTTAAAGAAAACAATGTCGGACTTCCTAGCAGATAAAGACCAGGCAGATTGTTTCAGTTCAATGCTAACATTGAGGTTGCTCGGTGATTTAAACTTAAAACTACAATTGCCTCACTATATGCAATTTTTTAAAAAAAATCTACTACAATTTTGTGAACACTTAAGAAATCATAAATCCTAATATTTGCTCTGGACTTCTGTTGCTCATAGCAACAGAATTTCTCCTGCTATGGAATGGAATAAGGAGTCTGTTGTGGATTAAAGACTACTCCACGTCTGCCTCCAAATATAGGCTTTGGTAGTTAAATATAGTTACTCTTTGAACTTTTGTATTTTCTAGCTTCGAAGGGGGATGGGGGAGAGACCCTTAAGAAATGTTTGCAAACAGTGAGAAATCCTTATCCTGAATGCATTCATACCATTAATACATGAAGGTGTTGGAGGAAAAAAATGGGACACAACTTAGTAATTTTTCATGCACTCAACTGCTGGCGACCTACCTGACGTGACTTAGAAACCAAATGTTTTATGTAGCCAGAGTGCTCTCTTTTTGAGGGGAACTGGCACGTTTTACAAATCTCTGGGGGATCCCACACAAGAATGAGCCCTAACACAGCAGGCGGAATGGGGCCGGGTAGTTGAAGAGCAGGAAGAACCATGCCTTTGTCAAGTGCAAGTTCATAACCGCAGTTTCTCAATTCAAGGAGCCACTGCACGCCCAGGGGGTGCTTCTGGTCACAACACTGGACTGACACCAACAGCAGCGACTGCTGACAGCTCCACGCCTCTGGGTCTGACTCCGCCCCTTACTGAGCCACCACCAGCACCTCCTTGGTTTGAGGTGTGTGATTACTTTCTCTTCCGAAGATTGACACAGCCCACCCAGCCTGACACGAAGGAGATAGGATTGCCGCTGAACAGGCATGGCAGCCGGCCACCCAAATGGAGTGGTCAGATTAGCAATTAACCGTGAACTTGCCAAGTATAGATCCTAAGATGGAAGCTGGAACCATGATGCCATTCCTGAGAGGAAACCGATAAATTCTGAATTTCCCATTTATGTGGAACAGCTGTAGCTTTGTCTCTACAGAGGAGTGTGTGGTAAATCTCTAAGCATTGCTAAATTCACTCTTACTGCTGTGTCGGGAAGAATTAACACACATCCGAGGAGACAGAAACACATTTCAGATGAAATAAAAGGCCGTGACCTTAATCTTGTGGAAGGTCCTGGTTAGCTAAGAAAGAAAGGAGGAAATTTCTTTTAGAGCACTTTATGCTACTGGTGGTACGGAATCAACAGTTTTGGAAGCTTAATGCCTATTTACCAAGAAAAGAGATCAGAATTCCCTGAATTCTAACTTGTAGAGAATTCTGTAAGAATGAGAGACTGTTCCGTTTTTAGGTCCCTGGTCTTAAATGCATCTCCTCTTCTAAGGACGCCCGTAGTTTCAGAGATGCACTTGAAAGCAGAGTAGCTTCTGTTTTCATCTCTTTTGACAACATGGAGCCTTTTATCATTACAAACATACCCACTGCAGACTGTTCTCGAGATAAACAAGCCCTTCAGTGGCCACCTTACAGGGCAGCCATCATTATCAGGTTACTGGGTCTTAATCTCAATGAGTAGAAAACCACAGGGTAACACTCTCAGATTGCTCCCTGAGCCAGATCAAGACAGTCCTAGAAAAGGCTAGAGCTTTAAAAGCATTTGACGAGGGTCCTCCATAGTTAGTTATGACATAGCCAATGTGTACACCTCCTTCTTTCCACCATCTTCACTGCCTGACAGGAGCCAAACCAACACTGTTGTAAAAGCCACAGTGATTCACACCATGTATGACTTGTCACATCTGGAGGTGAGAAGAGTAGGGTTAAACCCTCTTCCTCCCCCTACAAGATCAAGGGCATCTAAAATTACCCGCTGCTTCACTGTCCTGGAAATATTTAAAATGCTACTTTGGTAGCGTTCCAAAGTATTACATCACCCCTTGAGTTGACAACAGACTGGTAGAAAAAAAGACAGGAGCAGTGGAAAAAGTGGATGTCCCAGGCAAGCAGTCCATCTTTTAGAGCTATTTTTCACCTACAAACGTCATCCATTCCCCTGATTCCACTACCACCTTGATGCTGATGACACCAAAGCCATATGTCAACACCGACCTCTAAGCTCCAGACCCATACCTCCAACCATGTAGTGAACATCCTCACCGGGTTTCTCTTCGGCAACTCAACTGAAATAGGTCTACATCTCTCCCCGGCACTTGCTCTTTTCCCCTTCACCCTTTCCCATCCACCCTCTCATCCAAACCAGAAACCTACGGGCCATCTTTGACTTTTCCCTCTGCTGTACTCCTAAACATTTTCCCTCTCAGGTGCTAGTCCTCGACTCAGCCTCTCTGCCCTGCTATTGCCAGGTGTCATCATCGATTGCCTGAACCGGCCCATCTCCAGCAATCTTCGCTGCCTCAAATCCATCCTCTAGAAAGTAACCACTGAGGACCTATTATGTATTAGACCCTGATGTTGACACTTGATATAAGTTATCTAATTTATAACTTATGGTCTTCACAAAAACAGTGAGATAGGAAGGATCATTAGTGCCTCTATTTTACAGATATGGGAACTAATTCAGAATCCTTGGTCCAAGAACCCACAGCTAATCAGCAGCAGAGCCAGTATTTATACATAGGATCAGAGCCCACATTCTCAAATAGCATTCCACGCTGCAAGGGTTTGTCAAATTTGACAGAAGAACCCTAACACTGATGCTCAAAAGTGTATATGTCCATTCCACTGGTCTTCAAACAACTGCGCAATATAAGGATTTAAAAACAAAACAACACTGTAGTTTCAAGCTTTGCAGAGAAGGCAGGAAAAGCAGTGAGCGAGGCCTCACACTCTGGACTGAAAGCTGCCTCAGAGGGGCTGAGTTTGCTTGCTTACTTTTTTACTCCCTCCGAACTTCAGTTTTTGTATCTGTGAAATAAAGAGCATGATACCCACATTTTATAGGGTACATATGGATATTAAATAGTATAATGCTTGTAAGACCCTTAATAAAGATTTACCAAATACCAACATCAGTACATACAGAGCATAAAAGCAAAGAAACAAACTACAAAAACAGAAAGCATTACTTACAGAAGCCTGTAACCGGCCGTCCTCCTTCATAGCGAGATAGCGGTTGGCACACACTCCTTTGATAGACACGACCCCTCTCTCTTCTGCTTGAAGTTGTAGTTTGACTAGAAGTAATGGGAAAAGTGACCTTTGTAGCATCATAGGTAAAGAGCCAACTACATGCAATGTAAAGACAGGAGACACCCCAGCAACCAGATAGTCCACTCTGGAAGACTGGCTGGGGGACGGGGGCGAGGGTTTGGGGGGATGGATATCAATTAAATTCTATGAGAGTGAGATGCAGGTCCACTAGAGGGGGCCTCCTGACCCCCTTCTCAGTACAGTGTCAGAGAGCAGAGGAGTGACAGAGTGGGGAATTTTTTTCCTTTTATGTGCAATTAGCCTCTACTTGGCTAGATAACTGCTTAATTTTTTTAAAGTAGATTGTAGGAAAACAAAAAATAGATATTACTTTAATATAATGATAATGTCACATAGACAAGGCATCTAGTTAATTCAAATAAAAATGAAATTCAAATTTTCTGTTTTGCTCTTCTTGCAAATTTCCAATTTGAATTCTCCTGCCTAGAACAGCATTCCCCAAAATGTACTTGGCTAACAGAGGTTACATAAAAAAACAGTCCTGGGGCCAAATAAATTTACGAAACAACTGTGCTGTTTATAAGAAAAGCACTTTAGACACAAACATCCAGGCAACTTGAACGTAAAAATGTGGGAAAAATATAAAATGCACACCCTCAGTGTAAGAATGTTGATATGGCTATTTTAACATCAAATGATGTAGACTTCAAGGCAAGTAATATAACTAAAGATAACAGGGTTATTTCATGATAAGAGGGTCAGATATATCAAGAAGACATAATAATCTTAACTGAGTAGCACCTCTTAATAGAATTCTGAAATATCTGAAACAAAAATTGACTAAAAAAATAAATAAGAATATAGAATATATGAATAACATTATCAACCAACTTGACCTGACTTTTTAAAATTTTATTTTAGATCAGGTAGGTTTCATTCACCTGAGACTTTTTTTTTTAAGATTTTTTAATTGATTTTTAGAGAGAGAGGAAAGAAGAGAGAGAGAGAGAGAGAGAGAGAGAGTGAGAGAGAAAAACATTCATGTGAGATCTAAACATTGATCAGCTGCCTCCTGCAGGGCCCCTACCAGGGATCGAGCCTGTAACCCAAGCATGTGTCCTGATCGGGGATAGAATCAGAAACCTTTCAGTGCATGGGGCAATGCCCGACCAACTGAGCCACACAGGCCAGGGCTCACCTGAGACTTTATTTTCCTTTTAACATCATAGTTGTTTGGAAACTGCTAAAAAATTAACTCTGCCACCATAGCAAGCTATCCAATGCTTATTTGTCTAGTGGACTTGAATTGTTCAAATTAAATACAGCTGAAAAGTTCTTTCTCCAAAGACACCATGATGTTAAGATGGCCTCTGGTTCTGAACTATTGGTGCTTCTGGTTCCTTTATTTTTAAACAATTTGAGATATAATTCACGTTGCGTACAACCTTGTTGCCCCACATTGCCTGTAACCAGTAGCCATTATATCCATTCTTATTCCTTTTGCCTACTTCCCCATGCAATCTCTGTCCTACCCAATATAAGCAGCGGCTAATGGAGTATGCAGAACAGATTTTTGTGGATGAGCTGCTGCTCTCCCATGCTGCCGGCTTTATTGGAATAAAAGCTCAGATATGATTCAACTCTGTCTGCTCAAGTGGTGACAGGCAGTCTGGACCCATTGGTCGTCCGGTTTCATTATCACCTATTCTGGAAAGCCTTCTGTGCTTGGTCTCTCCTGCTCCACCCCTCAGTTTAGGATGGGAACCTCTCCACTCTCCGGGGCCTGCTTCCTCTGCTCAGAAGTTTTACACCATCTTTGTCTGCCCCTCCCTGTCCAGGGGCTTCTTGAGGGCAAGGAACTGAGCTGTCCAACTCTGTATCTGGTTCTCACGTGCCAGGCACACAGGAGAATCTGAGGAAGCTCGCATGGATGAAAAGCAGCTTGGAAGGGAAAATAGGTGGGGATGAAAATGGGTCACAAGCTAACCTGACAAGCTCAGGGAAGGCCTGCCTGGTGGCCTTGCAACCTCAGAGACCCAAGTAATCACAAAGGATGGTCTGCAATTAAAACTTTCTAACTAAAAGTAGTTTATGGCAGGTAGTCGTGTCCTAGGCTAGAATCTTCCCTGACAAAAGTCAATCTTTACTTTAACTGAGCCTGTGTATTAGTCTTTTGTGTATCTACCATAACACACCTTTGGAATGTCTGGATAACTTCCTTGTTCCGGACCGCTCAGGGCACAACCAATGCACCAAAGCAGAGACTACAGATCCTCTCGTTGTTATTTGTATCATGTTCTTTGTTGACTATTCACTATCCTGTACCCACCTATGTAAAAGATGTATCACTCTCTAACCGGTTTGGCTCAGTGGATAGAGCGTCGGCCTGCAGACTGAAGGGTCCCAGGTTCGATTCCTGTCAAGAGCATGTACCTTGGTTGTGGGCATATCCCCAGTAGGGGGTGTGCAGGAGGCAGCTGATTGATGTTTCTCTCTCATCAATGTTTCTAACTCTCTATCCCTCTCCCTTCCTCTCCATAAAAAATCAATAAAATATGTTTTTTTTAAAAATTAAATAAATAAATAAAAGATGTATCATTTTACTTCTTATCCAATTCCAGAGGTTTCCTCCTTTGCTTTTTCCTGCCTCCCTAATCTATCACCAATGAATGTCATGTAACCTACTTATGTCTTCTCTTTTGATTATCATGTATAAAATCAGGTGCAAAATTGCCATCTTCTAGAGCTTTATCTCAATGTGTTGAGATTTTACTCCTGGCAATTGTTGACAGTTTGGCTCAAATAAACTCACAAAAATTAATTATATGGTTGAATGTTTCTTATGTTGACACGGCTAAAGAAGCAATTGCAGTGATGTCCTCAGTGTCATGAGACTACAGAAAAGGACACAGGGATGATCAGGTGGAAAGTCTGTCTAGGAGGAGTAAGGTCTAGGCTAACTTCTGAAGGTCAAGTAGGAGATAAGCTAATGAACAAGGTCCAGGGTAAGGAGACACGGGGGATGGTATTGCAGGTAGAATATTATCCCAGGACTGAGACACATAACAGCTACACTTGTTCTACACGGCCAGGTCCTAGGCAGCCAGAGCCATCAGCATAATCCAGTCTGAGCAACTACAGGTCCAGTAATCCAATTTCCTCTCCAATCAGTTACGAGGGAGAAAAAGGATGGAAGGAGGACCTGAGACTAAAATGGCTTAAAACTCACATATTTGAAAAGGCAAAACTAAAGTATTTAAGGATGCCTAGCAGTGGGATGAAACTTAAATTCAAATAAGTGATTAAAATAAAAACCTGTACACTTTTATATGGGAGGCAGGGACCAGGATTGGGACAGGGGACACAGGCATTGGGGTTGTGGGCAAAGGTTCTGTTTTCTTTCTCTCTTTTTTTCTTTCTTTCTTTCTTCTTTCTTTTTAAAAAATATTTTTACTGATTTGAGAGAGAAAGGGAGAGGGAGAGAGAGATAGAAACATCAATGATGAGAATCATTGATTGGCTGCCTCCTGCACACCCCCCATTGGGGATCGAGCCTGCAACCCAGGCATGTGCCCTTGACTGGAATCGAACCTGGGACCCTTCAGTTCGCAGGCCAATGCTCTATCCACTGAGTCAAACCGGCTAGGCTCTTTCTTTTTTTTTAAAGAAGGAGATTAACACTCAGCTTGCTGTTTCAGTTATGTGCCACTAGGTATTTTATTTTTAAAAAATATTTTTATTTATTATTTTTTTGAATATATTTTTATTGATGTCGGAGAGAGATAGAAACATCGATGAGAGAGAATCACTGATTGCCACCTGTACGCCCACTACTGAGGATGGAGCCTGAAACCTGGGCATGTGCCCTGACCAGGAATCAAACCCTGACCTCCTGGTTCATAGGTCAATGCTCAACCACTGAGCCACACCAACAGGGCCAAAAGTTCTGTTTTCTGACCAGAGTTATGGTTACAAGAATGTTCACCTGTAATAATTTCATTAAAGTACAAATCTGTTTTATGTAGTTTCTATATCTATGGTGTATTTTACATTTTTTAAGTTTTTTTAAAAAAAATTTTTTTTAAAGAACTACACTAAAAAACCAAAAATAAATGGGACTTCAGACAAGATTTCACCCGGGTCATTTCAGCAAGCTGGAGACCACCCACTATATTTAGTTTATGGATACACAAAAGTCAACAATTTTGATAAACAAAGACTTCTGGTGGCTTTCTAACGTTAAAATTAAACCCAGTAAGAGATGAAAATAATGCCGAAACCGGTTTGGCTCAGTGGATAGAGCGTCGGCTTGCGGACTGAAAGGTCCCAGGTTCGATTCCGGTCAAGGGCATGTACCTGGGTTGCGGGCACATCCCCAGTAGATGTGCAGGAGGCAGCTGATCGATGTTTCTCTCTCATCGATGTTTCTAACTCTCTATCTCTCTCCCTTCCTCTCTGTAAAAAATCAATAAAATATATTTAAAAAAAAAAGAGAGAGATGAAAATAAAAAATAAATAGTGTCCTATCCAAGCTTAAAGTTCAACTTTTTTTTTTCCTGTTGTAGCATAAAAACAAAAGCTGTCAAACCACACAACTGCCTAATCTAATTGTTAGGCGAGATCTTAGTGGTCAATCAGTCCCTTCATTACGCAATTAAATCTTCAGTCCCAGCTGCAATGTCCCTGAGGAGCAGTTGTCTTAAGTTTTAGTTGAAAATCCCAGCAAACGAGAATTTAGTCTCTTCAAAGTGACTGAGGGTAAGCAAGCAAAGGCACAGAGACTGGGATCACCATAAGGACACCACTCACATGTTCAAGTGCTCAGATCCCTGCACGCGACACATGCAGTGACACAGTGTAACCCAAAAGCCAAATTATTATTTCAATGTTAACGCCATGGCTCAAAACAGAACTCCTTTTTTGGAATGTTCTTCAGAATTTACATGGTTGCCTTTCGAATATGCTCAAGGATGATGAATCTTAAAATCATAAATGCCAGACTATAGGAGCTGAAAAGGACTTC